TTCATAATGAGCTGGAATAAACATGTTTTTGTGAGTTAGTGGGTTTGCATGCAGGCATCAACAGAGCTCTAAAATACAAAATGGAACCTTTCTTCTCAACCAGGGTATTCGCATGCACATAATAAACAAAACAATAACAAAATAGAATGAACGTTTATATTCGTAAATATGTATCTACCAGTTAGTAAACATTTACAGGCATAAAAACCAGAAGTCTTCTACTTCTCAATTTATGAATTTACATGCAAGTAACAAGCAAAACTAAAATAATGATAATGAAACCGAACTTCTTTTCTCGAACAAAAATGAGACACCATCCTACCTTGAGCTTCGGCTTTGGCCTCCTGGAAGATTTCAAAAAGTTCTACGAGAGGCCTCCTTGGTAACTGACTAGTGCCTGACGAAGAAGTTATAAAATGGGTGAAGAAGGGTAATGCTGCGAATAAAGCACTAGTAACGTAACACACCAAGCATAAATACAGCCTCTGAGACAAGCACCGAAGCACCGGAGCACCGAAGCTTCACCGATTAGTTAAGCAGAAGCAAAATTATTTTTTTGTTGTTGTCATTCTTCTTTTTTATCTTTTTTTTTTTTTTTTTTTGGGGGGGGCTTAGATATAATGTAAAAAAAATTGTAGAGTGGTATGTTTATGTCATAGAGATATGTTGTTTACCTCTTTCTGTACTTTAGTAATCTATTGTAATTTATTGATCCGCTTCCCTTTAAGAACAAAGTCCTGCATTATGTTGTGGACACAGCTACCCTCGTTATCATGTCAGATATAGTTTTCTATATATCCTGATAGGGAGATAGGTAGTTAGGTAGATAAATAAATATAAAGATAGGTAGGTAGACAGGTAGATAGATGGGTAGATAGATAATTAATTTGGTAAACACACGCACACACAGCCACACCCACACCCACTTATAAATAGATAGATACACATACATACACACACATATATATAAAGAGAGAGAGTGAAAGAGAGACAGACTGAGTCATTTACGCATTTTTATGTATTCATGTACGTATCTGTTTGTATCTGTGTTCATGCGCGCAATTCTTACAACTCATCTCATCTTCCGCCCTATTGTTGCCTCTCACGGAAGAGAGAAAGTCGCGGAGACAAAGGATAGCAGAGGAAACCATTTTTCAGGATATGCTTCCATGCCGCAGGTGAACTTGAGACTCGCTGTACTGACTTTACTTTAAAAAATAAAAAGATTTACTGTCTTTTAAAGCCCAATGGTCTTATAGTATGTGAACTGAGCTTCCTTTGCATATCTTTGTAGTCTGAGTACGGTCTTTAAAAAAGTTATTGTCTTTAGTAATTTCTTGAAAAAAAATCAAAATTCTAGTAACGTCTCCATAATCTATTTACATTTTTTTTTAGTTTAAGAGAAACATTATCATTCACAGAAAGTAAATTGAATAATCTGATACGTAGTGAGAGCAAACATAAAATTAAAAAATAATGTATGTGGAACATGAAAAAAGAAGATAATTTAACTATCCAATCGTTATGAGATCAAGTTTATGAAAAAATCGACTTCAAGCATGTTAAAATAAAGACCATAAATTATAAAACCCGGATGTAATTTGATATTCGAAAATTGTTTTGTTTCCCACGCTAGATAACGTTTAAAATACCCCCCCCCAAAAAAAAAAAGTACCATTAAATCATTCACATCGCAGTCGGCTGTTTTTTTTAGGATAGGGACGAGCGCTCATTCTTAGTCATGTTCCCTCTCCCTCCTCTCCTCTCTCTCTCTCCCTCCCTCTTTTTCTCTCTCTCTTTCCCCCTTTCGCTCTCTCTCCCTCTCCTTCTTCTATTTCTCCTTCTCCTTCCCCTCGTTCTTCACCTTCACCTTCTCCTTCTCTTTTTTCCCCTCCCCTCCTCCTCTTCTTCCTCCTACCCCCCTCCTGTCTTCTTCTTTATGGGATACCTACCTACCGTGGCATCAAAGTCTCCGAGACACTTCATCCCAAACAGGTCCAAGTTTGAACGCCTATCATTTGAACGCGAGCTTATACAACGATGAATAACGGAAAAATTATACATGCGTTGTTAACGTTACACAAAAGAGGGAATTGCCAACAACGAACGACTTAAAACTGAATAACCGACAATGATTCTCCCCGCACTGCAACCTAACCAAACTAAACTAAACTACCTAACTAAACCAAACTAAACTACCTAACTAAACCAAACTTAACTAAACTAAACTACCTAACTAAACCAAACTAAACTAAACTACCTAACTAAACGAAACTACCTAACTAAACTAAACTAACCCAACCCAACTCAACAACCTAACCTAACCTAACTCCCCGCACAAAGTAAGACACCGTTACCATAATGACACGGAAATTTCTACTTCCTTGCTGCTATATAGTTGGAGGAAGATGGTCATGATATACTTCGCTGAGGAAAGGGAGTGTGAGCCAAAAGAACATACAAAAAGAGAGACGATTTACCCAGCTAACCTTGAGACGGAACTTGTTAGTGCGATGCACGCACGTTGAAACCCACATTCAGACACACACGTTAAAACACACATATGCACATTCAAACACACGTTAAAATATACATAACATACACAACATCACATTCACACACGCACACACACACACGGATCCATTTAGAGATACACACGAAACACAGACATGGCCTAATATACACACTCAGACGCACACACACACACACAAGGCCTGAATACGCAGATGCAAGACAATATATAATGAATAAAAGGATATAAAGCATTACAACAAAAAATATACAAATTCCAGAAGTAGAAGCGACCGCCAATAGAAGACAAGTTTTTTCGCAACAAGCCGTCTTCGCAAAAAATATCGGCACGTTTAGTCTTGGTCTTCCCAGGGTCACCTTTACACACACTACACACACACACACACACACACACACACACACACATGCACACACACACACACACACACACACACACACACACACACACACACACACACATACATACACGGACAACACACATTTCATACGCACACACACACACACACACACACACACACACACACACACACACACACACACACACACACACACACACACACACACACAACACACACAACACACACACACACACACACACTCACACACACACACCACACACACACACACACACACACACACACACACACACACACACACACACACACACACACACACACACACACACACACACACACACACACACACACACACACACACACACACACACACACACACACACACACACACACACACACACACACACACACACACACACACACACACACACACACACACACCACACACACACACAACACACACACACACACACACACACACACACACACACACACACAATATAAATATATAGACTATTAAATGAATAAGCAAATAAATCTATAAATATATTGATAAATAAATAAATAACCTCTCGTACATAGTTAGGGCATGGAAACTTCTGGTTGATTCACTTAAAAAAAGAGCAACTCAAGGAAAAAAGGAGGTTGGGCTTCATTCTTTGAAGAGACTGCGATTAAAACGACCCACTCACTCTGTCTGTCTGTCTGCCCGCCTGTCTATTTGTCTGTCTGTCCGTTTGCCTATTTGTTTGTCCGTTTGTTCGTCTCTCTCTCTCCCTCTCTGTCACTCGCTCAATGTTACTCGCTTTATGTCACTCGCTTTCTCCTCTCTCTCTCTCTCTCTCTCTCTCTCTCTCTCTCTCTCTCTCTCTCTCTCTCTCTCTCTCTCTCTCTCTCTCTCTCTCTCTCTCTCTCTCTCTGTATCTTTCCCTCCGTCTCACTCCTCTATTTCTTCCTCTCCCGTTCCTAACCCTCTCTCTCCCTTTCCTCTCATTCTCCTTTCTCATTTTCATCTTGTAGTAATTTTAACACTTCCATTTCAAATTTCAGCCTACTTAGTGTTCTCAGCCTCACAGTGTCCATTTTGCCTATAACTTCCCATGAATTACACCAGGTTTTGTTCGATAGAAAGAGGTCATGAAGGTATATGAAAATAAATCTTGAAACCGGAAAGCGAAAAATTTAAATAATAATGAATAAAAAGTAAAACCTAAAAAATATATAACAAAAGAAATGAAAAATGATCATGATGATGGTAACAATAAGAATAACAATTACAACAATAACAACAACAATAATAATAACAATAATAATAACAATAATGATAGAAGAATAGGACCGCCTTATCTGCATGACCACCTAAGGGCCTCCACTTAATCGTCATGAAATCAAGACGAAACTCAGAGATTCAGTCATGCAGGCGCGCCATGATGTCGGAAATGCCTTCAAGTTGTCTCGCCCTGCATGGTCCTTCTGTGCCTGTGCACGCCCCGAGGGAGAATTTTGGTGGGTTCCTTTTTTTTAAGTTTATGCATGGCGGTTGTGTATCTTGGTTGGCTGGTTGCTGTGTTGTGTTTTTGTTATTTTTTTTCTTCTTCTTCTTTTTCTTCGTCTTCCTCTTTGTTATTAGGTTTTATTCACTGATCGGTATCTGGATGTGAATGTGTGTGTGTGATGTGTGTGTGTGTGTGTGTGTGTGTGTGTGTGTGTGTGTGTGTGTGTGTGTGTGTGTGTGTGTGTGTGTGTGTGTGTGTGTGTGTGTGTGTGTGTGTGTGTATGTGTCGTGTTAGTGTGTGTGTGTGTTGGTGTGGGTGTTAGTGTGTGTGAATGCGAGTTTGTGTGGTGTGTTAGTGTGTGTGAATGTCTGTTAGAGTGTGTTAGTGTGTGTGTGTGTATGTGTTAAGTGTGTGTATGGGTGTGTGCACCCAAAGCCGCATACCAACATACCATCACCATCATGGAGCTAACGCCGACGGGGGCGCATAGCCGCATCCACCCTTCGTTTGTACCTACGAGGGTCCCTCACGGCAAGCTATTTAACTATTGTTAAACATACCATGAGCCTCTAAAATATATACTTACTATTCAATCTACTTCAAAATACAAGAATAA